CGCGAACTGTTTTGTCACTTAAGCACCTTCATGAAATGGAAGCACTCTTGATCGAGTGACCACGATAGTGTGACGCTGACAAAGCTGTCAAGTGCGCACATTCTGCCGTTCACTGAGCGGCGAAGGTTTGCGACCGTTTGCGAATGTCGTGTATGGTAACTTTTCGTAAGGGTTCATTCAATGTCACACACAGTTTTTCAAGTCTGCCTCACAGCGCAGAGGTGCAGGGTTCGACTCTGGCCTTCCCGTGTGGAGTTTGCATGTTCTCTCCAGGGCAGCGTGGGTTTTCTCCGGGTACTCCGGTTTCCTCCCACATTCCAAAAAAAATGCGTGGCAGGTTAATGGAACACTCTGAATTGTCCGTGTGTGCCCTGCGATTGTCTGGTAACTGTGTCAGGGTGTACCCCGCTTACTTGCCGAAGACAGCTGGGTTAGGCTCCCCCCGCGACCCTCATGAGGATAAACGGATTAGAAAATGGGTGGATGGATGGAAAAAAAAGTCCATGCATTTCAAGGTATGTGACTTTAAAAATGAATTTGGATGTATTGTCTCTTGAGTGAAATATACAATCCTTATTGGTCTTTTTTGCAATGTGCAAATCTTTTGTATGATGCTTACATCGGACATTGATTTAAAAAAATTAATATAATGGGGTAAAACTGGCAGTGCAACCCAAAAACTTTCAGTTCAAGTCAACAGTAGTCAGTGACTTTTCTGCCACCTTGAATTACCCCGGCACCTGTTATTTACAAACATTATGAAAAGGCCGCTAAGAATCAGCAGGTGATTTATTAATGATCAGAAATTTGCTATTCATGAATTCTGATGTGTACTACATCAGTGATGTGTAAATCCACCAGCGGGGCTCGCTGAGATGAAACAACAAAACCATCAAGGCACATTTGTGCTCATGTCAGACGGCACGGATCTTCATTTTCCGTGCGGATGTGTGTCTCCGTGTACGTTTAACAGCCCGTTCATTATGGGTCTTTGAGTTACGTATGTATGTGCCCCGTGATTGACTTGCCAGCCTGGTTTATTGGGAGGGAGAGGACCCGCAACGGGAAGCCATTACCCGCCATTGAAATAACACTCGGGCAAATTACTCTTTGAACTTGACTACAGGCTACACAGACTCATCACCGAGTCATTGCGGGCAGAATGGCAGAGTAGCAATAAAGCAACGTCTCACCCGAGCCGACAGCTCATGAATATCAATGACCTCGCAGACACAATCAGGGTGACGATGTCTTAAACAATGAGGAAGGGAAGGAAGTCTTCATATGACTCTGTCATTTATCTTCTTGGCTCCTCACACATGTACACATACAGTATAATGAAGAGTACCAGCACATGGTTGCCTGAGCGGAAAGGTCGGGAGGTCACAGTCAAGAATGATGCCCGTGATGATGAGGGGTCCGATTCGAGTTGTTGAAATAACATAAAGTGTCCTCATTTTCCATACAATAATTGAATAGAAATGTTCAAATACATTATACATCGCTCTCTCTCTCTCTTTCTCTCTCTCGCTGCTTTCTCTCTCTCTCTGCTAATCTAAAATTGTCCAAATGCTTTCAGCTTCTCAGTAGTGCATTTCTGGATTTTTATAGTCCTACATGAAAGTGGACTGATTATCTTTGTGCGAAATCAAAATAAATCATTTACTTTTAATTTGGAAAACAGTGATCAACATTTACCGTATTTTTTATTTTATTTTTTGTCTTTTTTTATGTTTCTCCTGGTATTTCTCTTGGAATGGCCTTCTACAGAGTCCATTTGATCAGTTAAAACCATTAGATCATTTAAAAAAAAAATACAAATACATATATATATAATGCAGATTTATCCCTGAGGCTGTACCGAACCCTCAGGCGGGCCGGATCCGTATGTTTGACACCTCTGCTTGCTCTCCTAAATCCAGCTGGAAGCTTTTTATTTTCGATTCAATATTGGCTTTGTCAGCACCCATTACAAAGGAGTGATTGCAAACACACTTCCTGTGGAATATGTGATGGTGTCAGTGAGGGCTGTCGAAAGACACACAAAGATGATAACGATAAATCATCTCTTGCTGTGTTATTTTTCCAAGCTGACGACCTTGATTTAGGACAAACGAAGGTGATAACTAATATCTTGATCAACCTGCACGCAGAAACGCAGCTGGGCCGGTGCATCCCAGCAGCGTGCCTCGGTTTCTATCGTTCTATCCAAAAGCAACTGATTCTGCACGTAGTCAGCAATAACTCCAGCACAGCTTGACACTTGGCGTAGGGAGAAAAGATATTGGACTGATAATTGAATTGGTGTGACGGAGAAAGTTTCGGGGAAATTATTTTGCAAACACATTGAGTGATGCTGCTTTTTCATTTCAGAGAAATGTGTGTGTGTGTGTGTGTGTGTGTCATCTGCGGTTGATCACGATTAAACTGTATTTTAAGTAAGGGCCAGATTATTACCCCCCTTGTCCAAAAAAAAAGAAAAAAATGTGTTGAAATGAGTTTATATTTTCATGACATTAAGAACACTGTAGCCAAGACAAATTGAAATTCATTTTCATTTGAACTAGATTTGAACATAATAGCAGTTTGCATTCAGCAAAGGTGCCATTTGGTTTCCACATTTAACTTTGAAGATAAACAACATTGAATTATTTGAATAAAAAGCTTTACATAGCAATTCATGGAAAAAAAAAATCACCCTGACCGTACCACTGTTTCCTTTTTCATTTCAAGAGATATCAGCTCTCAGGAGATTGCCGACCCTGAAAGCGCACCACGTACGCCACTGATGACCTGCACCATTTCCTAACGGCTTCATTTAGTTCCAGGCATGGTGTCTGGCTGGGTGCCTTAACCTGGCGGGGCCCTTTGTGGCTGCCAAGCACCACAGCGCCAGCCTTATTATTCCCCTCCTGCTTTGACTGTGTAATTTGATCGAGTTATTCATAACATTTCAGCCCATGCCTTTCCCCAGAGTTAGCGTGACATTGGTATTTGCAGAGGATAAATGCATTATAGGATGGCCCGCTGCTCGGAAATTGAGCATTAATATTTGCTCTTGATGTGATGTATATAAACAGACAGATTTGCGGACTCTTGGCTCCTCTCTTGGCAACCATTTTGGGGGAGGATGGCCCAATATTCGTCAAGAGAAGGGAGCTACGATAATAATAATAATAATAACAATAACAATAGCAACCAGTCATGTTATCTGTTGGGAAGGAAGCCTGCTGCTCTCTGTCTCGGCAGTTGGCTCGGTAGTTGGCAGCTATCGGTGGGATCCCGTTGGCACATCAGTCACCGCACTGGGCTCATTTCACTCAGAAAGCACGCGGCAGAAGGGGCGAATGCAAATGAAAGCAAGAGGGGGAGAAGAATGGGCCACCGCGACCGTCCCTGCAGCACAGTCAGGTCTCCATTTAATCGATGAAGCCATTTTTCTCAGAAGCGCCAACAAACCTACAGAGCGCTGAACGCATTCTTCTTTCTTTCAAGGCTCCAAAAGTCTGTGGGAATCTCCTCAAACGCAGCAATGACAGCCAAAATATGTCCTCCATACATAATAACCCTCCTGCAGGCCTACGAAGAATAGAAAGCGTTCAGTCCTTGGGGCCAGCGCGGCAATGTTGCCCTCTGAAATATAAACTTGTCATTTGACGCAGCTTCCCGTCGCGGAGTCTCCCAGAAATGTCACAGCAGCTTGCAGTGGAAATACATAAATTATATTTTCACAGGGGAGATGTGTATTTGCTATCAAATTATTCAACCGCAATTGCAAGATTTACGTACTTGCCATTCAAATTAGTTTGTGCAGAGCTAATTAAATCTTGTTTTTTTTTTTTTGGTCTAGTCGGTTCATTGCTAGCTGCTGTTTGCGATTGTACATCTTCCATGTGTGGCCCGAGCATAATGTCCACTAACTATGTAGTTACAATTCGTCAGAACTATTACGAGCACATTTACGATATGAAATCTTGGAAATGTCGCCTGCCAACCTTTTACTATAATGATGATGTGTTATGGGAGTGATGGGCACTTGTGGCCTCATTGATGAGCAAATACCACGGGACAACGGACGTTTGAGAAAAAAATGGCACTGCAAGAGTAGAAGGGAGGGGGCGGATACGGAGAGATATTGAATTGAAAAGGAAAAGAATTAGGGAATCAACGAAAGCAGTAATGGGAGAGTGATGATAGAAGGTACTTTCATTTGTGGATAGCTAGACAGCCGTTTTTGTCCATTTTCTCACTGAACACTCAAAAGTGTTGCACCTGTAACCGCAAAACAGCTATTTGAACCATAAAAAAGAGAGAGAGACAGTGAATCATATGCTATGGTACTGTATACAAACGGTGTACGCACTATGCTTCAGGGGTTTTATTGTGGTGGGGTATTCCTGATTGGTGGCAAAATAAATTTCAATTACAGGGAGCTGACCAGCAGGACTTGAGGTAATTGGTACGCGGCAATGCTTTCAAACACTTTGCTCTGTTAAATTGAACACTGATGTAACTTGAAACGGGCTTTTGCCATGAGGCTAGAGATGCTACGTTGTCTTCAGCTATCAGCGCTAATGGCCGCGCTGCTCATTAATGTGACAGATTTCGCCATAAATGCAGTGTGAGGTCCGAGGCTCCATGTTTTCCTCATCACATTGGCGGGGTCTTTGGAACTGCGTAACATTCGTATCTCTTGGGTGAGGACAAGCATTGTCCAAGGGTCATTACATCCCATCAGATGCTAGCTGCAAATCTAACACTCCGCTAATGTGTCCCACTCCACCTGTAACGTTGTTTGGATGAGTGCCCATAAATCAGAAGCAGGGGTCAAGGAGGTTCAAACCTACTGTCAGAGATACCGCCAAGCATCATTGGAGAGAAAGTATTTCAATTTCAGGTGTGTGTGTGTGTATTTATTTCTCTATATATATATCCTCAATATTGCTGTTGCGTACGTGGTTAAGAATGAGTGCTAGTTTTTGTTTATTGATGAGAACGGTCTTACGTTCTAAGTTGATAATATTGAGGAAATATTGCTGAAAAAGAAATCAGAAAAGCAGACTGCTATGACTTCACTTGTCTCAGAGGGGGATCCATTCTGAAATCCGTTTCTTGTTCTTTTGTTGAAGGAAAGCCTCAACAGAACATAAAAGGAAAGTGGAAAAGTCATGTAAGCACCTAAAAACAGATCCACTTTCGACCGCAGAGAACCTGGAGGGCTCATTGGTGAAAAAGGCAGGAGGATTTGGGTGGGCTAATGACTGACCTTATGAGCAGAAGCCTGTAGTCCTGGTCCAGCAACACCTCATAAAGCAGGTTCCCACATTCTTTTGGTCTTGGCCAGCCTTGTCCTCCACCTGGTCTTCTTTGAACCTTCACTATGCTCCATTTCAGTTTCTGGACGAGCTCTGAAGTTCTGCAGAATCGCTCATTCACATGTCCCTGTATCAGGATGGAAATAGGAAATCATATTGGATTTCCTATGAGTCACTTGAAAGAGGGAGCGACGTTGCAATTGGCCTCTTCAGGCCAAGACATTAGGCGGGGGTACACATTAGGGTTGCCGCCTTTCGGATCTGGAAATTGGGGACACTCCACACATGGTTGCGGCAAAACCACGGCTGGCGAAAGAAACGTGAGGGTTTGGCTCCCCCATATCCTAAAATGTATAGAATCACATGTATTTATTACATTTTTTGAATGAAAAAACAAAATGCATAGCGATGGTTTCAAACTCTTTAAAATATACTTGCAATCTGCTAAAATGACGTCAAGTTACCATAAATGGCATATTACCTTGTTATTTGCTCCAGCTATCCAAGTGTCGCCAAAGCCATCGAAGTATCATATCTCATTTAATGAGCCATTTGCTGTATCATAGTACATGCAAGTCCGTGTTAACATTGACGAGCACGCCTTATTTTGATACACTTAATCTAACTTTATTTGAGTAAAACCACGCAATGGTACTACCATTGATGAAACAGTTGAGTATATAAAAATTGGAACATATTCCATCCTTCAACAAAGTGTGCACTCCTAATATTGAGTGAATTGTGATACACCGCAACTGAAACGGGAAATTTAATGGTAATAAGTGACATTCTTACATATTTATAGACTATTCAATTTAGTAAGGTTTCGATGTAATTTGTGTGTCGGCGTTGCAGAGACCCACACATGGTTTGCTGGCATAAATATGAATTTACTTGTTCTGAACCTTTGCTTTAGTCATGTCTCATAAGTGCATCAAATTGATGATTCAAGGTGGAGAGCCGTGTCAAAAACAGTGTGAGGTACTGCACCTCCTCCGATGTCGTCTCCCAGGAGATGTCAGCCTCCTTCTCCGCTTCTCAGCCTTCATTTTCACGGATAAATAATTCCTTTGACATGCAAAACATGGATGTTATCAGATAAGACACATGGAACTTCATAAACTACAGAGGCAGTAATATTTATTCAGACATCTCCCTGAATAAGCAAGCTGAGAATAAACAAAATAACACCGACAAAGTATTTTGAAAGAATGGTACTTTATCAGTACTTTCTAAAAAGCTGTGTATGTGCCGTATGTCAACTGAACATTCATACCCTTGCCCTTTGAGCTATTCTATCTGTTACTAGCTAGCTATCATGCTAGCTAGATTGGTAGCTGTCTGTCTGTCTATCCATCCATCTAGCTAGCTAGCTAGCTAGGAAAACAACAACAACAACAAAACAAATCTTGCTCGAATTTAAGTCTGTAAGGGCCACATACTCTAATAAGGCTCTCCACGTGTATGAAGCGCTGCACACAACAAAGAACCTACTTGAAATCTTATTTTGTGTAGCATTTTGACATCTGTTGCATACTCCGCTCAGCAAATGGGCATTTCCATATTACCCGAAAGACAATGGGCCGAATCGCTATCATAATCCAAATGACAAGCTTGGCTAACAGCCTAAACATCTGTAATTGTAATTTGCGGTGCATTCTCATTTTCAGGATGAGCTTCCTTATTACCGAGCCTAAGAGTGTCATTAGGAGATTGTAATTTGAAAGTGAAGTTGATGACATCTGTCACTCATGTTTCACACCGCAGTTAAATGAATTAGTGCCACTGATGTGAAAGGCCTGCATGGATGGAGACTGCACAAGGCGGTCGCGGGAGTGCCGGAACCTATCCCAGCCGTCTCCGGGCAGTAGGAGGGGGACAACCTCAACCGGTTGCCAGGGCGCACACAGACTAACAACCATCCGCACTCACAATCACACCTAGGGACAATTTCAAGTGTTCCATGAACATGCCATGCATGTTTTTGGAATGTGAGAGGAAACCGAAGTCCCCAGGGAAAAGCCACACAGGCACGGGGAGAACATGCAAACTCCGCACATGGAGGCCAGGGCCCGAATCGAACCCTCTCAGAGCAAACTTTTCAGATAAAAACATTTCTCATTAATTCGGCGCCAGCAGAGACACGTATGGGAACACAGTCACCTTGGTGAAAATGAAAGATGGCTCCGTTTTGGGTGACTTGAGTGACCATCAGCAGCTGCATGTGCGGTGATGTGATGAGCCCTGACCTCCGGCATTCGCACAACACAGACCTCAAATGCCGCGAAATCTGGCCACCTCGCCTCACCTCGTACACGCACATGCACACGCTCATTCTTCTCTCTCTCTTTCAGTTGTTGTGCCCCAGCTGGGAGTGGAGCCACCCAGACACAGCTCACTGAAGCAAGGAGCAAACTAGCACCTGCTCCAGCCTGGCTGAGAGTCCTCCAAGCACACAAAATGACCTTCATCCATTTATTTGTTCCCTTTCCGTTTCTTTTGCTCTCATCTCCCTGCAGCTTGTCAACCTCTTTTTGCTGCTGATTGCCCAGGAGTTTAATCCTCAGGTTCAAACATGCCTGACCATTTCCAGTGTCTGTCCGTTGCGTTGCCACCGATGTCATCCCATTGTGTGTAAAACTGATTGAGCGCAGATTAAAGTGGCGCCAACCACCACGGTGTCGCTACATCTGCTACTTCTTCCTTGTGACTTTTTTTACTCATTAAGGACCAGATTGCCTGGCCATGTTATAGTCGTAGTTAGTGATGCAAGGAATAGGCTGAGGTGATCCTACTGGGCACCCCCATTGCGCAGAGTCCCTGTAAACCGCAGGCAATGAAACCCGCAATCCAAGACCAACAGCGGCGAACCCTGCGCAATAATAAAAACACTTGGTATGAGAAAGCCCATTTATCATTCAAACAGGAGACCGTTGGGCAAAGCACACCAAAGATTGAATGGCTGCGGTGGATGCCTGAAAGGAGCCCCCGAACTTTCTACTCACCTCATTTTGCAGCTCATCCCCGAGCCTCCTGGAAGCCACTCGCAGCAATCCGCAAGGCGTCTTCCTTCTGCATGCTGTCAGAGTGATGTCAACGTTCTGCACGTAAACAGATAAAAACCAAATGTGAAACCTCAAGAGAGGCATCCTGACTTCTCTGGCCTTATTATAGAGTTAATTATTTTCATGTTTCAGGGTTCTCATGGTAACAATTTAATATTACATTACGATATGCATACTTAAAAGTCAGTTTACCAGCAAAGGAAAAATTAATTTATAAACACCAGTTCCAAAAGACATTCTTACATTTACTGTTTTGTATACATTATCATGGTTTAACTAATGGTCATGTATTTATTGATTGATCAATTTATTTAAGATGCAATACTCGTGCACCAGTGCAATCAAAATTTCATCCATTTCCAGGGAAAAAAAAACAAACAAACCACAGCCTTGTCAGCAGTGCAGCACTTATTTCTCGTCTTGTTGAGAGAAATGTATGCTCCCCAGTTTCCAGCAAAACATTTCCATTTGTAAGACTGCAGTGGAAGCTGCATGCTAGGTCGGTGCTATTTATACCGTGCATTTGTGGCAAAGATGGCCCTTTTGTGTGAAAAGCGGGCTTCTTGTCTCAGGCAGGGAGCTGCAATCCCCTTCTGCAGAGCAAAATGGTTTTAATAATGGGATCGGGGGGATGAAACGCAACTTTGGAGAGTCACGGGGAAGTAAAAAGGTAGGTTGAGAAGAGAGGATAGAGGAGGGTGAATTTGAAGCAGGCAAACACAAATATATTGATTTAAAAATACCTTTATTAGGTGCCACATTGGAGAGAGGATTGCGCTTCTGGAAGCATCTTACCAGAGATAGGGAATAGGGGGTAAAAGAAACAATGAGTTTAGTTGCTGTGTTGTTATGTGCGGCACATGAAGCACGAGCTGCTACAAAGGGGCAAAAGAAAGGGGTTAGTGACATACAGCAGCTTAACTAAGGGACGACCCTCAATGAAGGCAGAAATGCGCTCGCTGTCCTTCATCGCACTGATAAAGCAAATGACCCAGAAAATGTCATAGCTGTCCATCATTACAGAGGTAAACAAGAAAATGTCTCAAGTGCCAATCAATGCACAAACAGGAAGAATAAAATGAAAATATATCATAAATGTCCATCATCAAAAAGCCCAGACTTCCTGCCCGTCAAGCCCCAGTTGCTATCCTGCCCTCCCTCGTGAACAACACCCCAAGATACTTCAACTCCCCCACTTGCACACTTTTACAACTTAGACCATTGTTTCAGATTTGGAGGTTTTGATTTTCATCCCAACTGCCTCACACTCAGCTGCGAACTGCTCCAGTGAGAGTTGGAGATCCCGGCTTGAAGAAGCCAACAGCACCACGTCCTCTGGAAAAAGCAGAGATGCCATAATGAGGCCGTCAACACCTTGGCCGCGCCTAGAAATTTTTTCCATAAAGCTTATGAACAGAATCGGTGACAAAGGGCGGCCTTGGCGGAGTCCAACCCTCACCGGATACGAATCCGACTTAACTGCCGGCAAAGCGAAAAAAACTGACATCGGTGGTATCGGGACTGAACAGCCCGTATCGGGGGGTTCGGTACCCCATACTCCTGAATTCCCCCCCATAGAAGTCTCCAAGGAACACCCATGCAGCCAAGAGTTTAAAGCTGGTCCACTATTCCACAGCCAGGACGAAAACCAGCCTGATCCACCTAAGTTATATGATTCACGACTTCAATAGTCCACAACAGTTTTGGTTTTGAAGAGCTCGCGGTTCCGTATATTTGTTACGACTAGTCAGGATCCCAGGCCTGACTCTGTTTAATGAATGAATGAATGATCAAGTTTTGTTAAAATTGCTCTGACACTTTTTACTCAGGTTCTTTCACCCCTGGCGATGGGGGGAGATTAGACCAGGATCATATCCTGCCACGGATAATAATAATAGACACCTGAATTAATTCTGCCCTTTTTCTTATTTGACCTGACAATGACTGAAGGGTAGAACAGAGCAGGACACGCAATTAGTCATCGCTAATAATTCAAGTCATAATTCAACCAAAACAATGGCGATGAAAGCAATCTCCCTGGTGATGAACTTGCGGACAGGTCGGGGTTATTTTTCGTGAGCGTGTGTTTGTGCGGTGTGTGCCCTCAGCTCTCTGTACCTGCTTTCCCCACTGTGCTTCGGAAAGAATTAACAGAACGTGGTAAGTGGGAGAAGGAGTGCGCTGAATGCAAGCATCTGGTGCACAGCGTCGGGTCCCGGGCTTGCGCTCTAGCGCTCGGAAAGCCACTTGAAAACATATGGCCTTTTTTATGAGCCTCCGCTGCGCAGTCTGGTGGAAGCCTACCTGACACCTGATATTCCGAACGACACCTGTGATGTCAGGGCACAGGGGAAAATTGGCTTGGACTGTGCAAATGTCCCAGTTTTCTGCCAACGAAGAGTTCATAAGGGAAAGTGCATCATGTTTCCACCCAACCTGTGGCTCAACCAAAACTTAAAACTGTCCCTTTAATTGATTGTCCAGTGTAACACAATTTTCCATGTTTGCTCTTGATTTTGACGGCCGGCCTCTGACTGAACTGAGAGTCTCTGAGGATAGAAGAAGCTCTTCAAGCGCTGTCAAACGGGAATGGCTTGAGTATGTTCCTTGGTGTTGAGAGCAATATGAAAAAAAAACCCCAAAAAACTGGCTGACCTTTTAACTGGTGATCTGCAGGAGAGTTTTCTGCTTCCCAAGATGCTGAACCAAAAATCCAGTTCAGCCTTGCGTTTGCAAGACGCAGGAATTTGCAAAGTTCCAAGATGGCACACTAATGGCTTTAAGTGTTTAAACAGCGTGCGCTGCAACATTTGAATGCCCTAAGCGCTATCTGAATGATCTGACAAGCTGATTTCTCTGAGGAGAGATGAGAGGCAATTTGTTTGCCCAGTAGGATTAACGGCAGCGCACGCTGGATATTGGCCTTCACTCTCTGATGTGACAGACCCAATCCAGCTGTCAGTTTCAATCCGGGAGTCGACTGATGATGCAACAAAAGGATAACCATTGATGATTCATTTATCAAGCTGCTCTTCCAGTCTGGCATGACTCCACGGTTACTCTCCGTAGCTTTGATATGTCTAAATTAGACGACTCGTACGAGCCATCGGAAAGTCACAACTTCAATACCGCTGTGTTGTTTCTGACTTTTAACTGACTCAAACCCGTACATGACGTGTCGCCGTGTTGAAGGATTCTGCCGGCTGCATTTGCAACAATCATTAGCAACAGTATTTGTCTGCAGTACTGAAGAGTTAGTGGGCGCGATCGGATATTAGTTGGGAGTATGCATAAGCATGTTCTCAATCAGTCCTTGGAACACTCTGTTGTCTCCCGTCACGGCACCAGCTGAGACGCGCATCCGCCGCCAGGATTAATTCCCACTTTTATTCGACTGTATTTTGTGGGAGTATGTGTTGGGTATGTTTTTGTTTTTCATTTGGAGTTCTTTGTTCCAGTTGACGTCTTTGTTGTCGGGCCCAAAGGGGATTCCATGATGTGTGTCATTGAAGATTACCGTTTGATAACAAAGTCTTATCTTGGCCCATACCTTATCCTATGTTAACTTTTGATGATCTAGGACACATCTTATGCTTTTATTCACAATTGAAGACATTTCCCACGCATCCTATTTTTGCGACATGCTTTTGTCCAAATACCCCGAGGATCACGAATGCTCTTAATTTCGGAACATGAAAGGGTGAGAAGATCGGGAAACGGTCTCACGTGTCACAGTCTCTCGAGGGGTTTCCGTCAATGGCACTTCCTGGGCAGGGCGAGTCCCGAGACTGGCTCTTGTGAAGACGTGTTCTGCCCAGTTGCATTGGTTCTTCCCAATCTTTCAAAGTATGCAAAATAAGACACCAACAACAGGAATACGTTACTTAGTCGCGAGTGATGGGTAACCACTTTATCGCTTCACTATTGACCAAATGCTTCTGACAAGTTTTGTTTGCTTTGACTCAATCTGACGTTCCCTTCTCCTTCTCGCCGAACTGCATCTGCAGTTATTCTATCCGATAACAGTCCAAACATGAATAAATTCCAAAGTTTATTTGAGAGGGCCCGATGTCTTGCTGCTTGCTTAAATGAGGTAACTTCATCCTTGTATTTACATTCTCCTTCTTTGCAGATGAGCGGACTTGTGCTCGATCTCGATTCCTCCTTCCAGCTTCCACACTTTACGCCCATAAAGCGAAAATGACACCGTGTGGGAAAACCCCAACCTTTCTCCTCAACATCGACATCCAAAATAACCCTTCCGCTTCTACTTCATTGTTTGTTACATACTGTACATTGTGTGAACTAACCGGAAACTGGGGGTAGTTCATACAGAAATGAATGCAGCCTAATACAAAGTGATCCCTGACAAAAATCGATATTTTTCCAATAATTGCGCTGGCATTCTTCGGAAGTACTTCACATTTCTTAACAATCATACGATGAAGTGAACTGTACTTTAATCCTATTTACCAACAATATTAATACAATGACAGCTGCTTTATATGGAACACGGTCGTTCCACAACATGCGCAGTCAGTACGGTTACAACTGATGCATCTGCAGAAAAAGCGGGTAAAAAAAAAGAAAAGCACGGGTGAGTCATCCTCTTTAAAGCCCTGGGCTTATGCGTAAGGTCGTGTCCCTCCCCTCAGCGCCGAGCAGAGCTGAGTGTTAAGGTTGAGTAAACTAATCGAGTCTTTTGAAATGAGGGTGAGCCCCGGCTTTAGGTTCAATCACCAGGATAGAAAATGTAACCAGTGTCCTCTCATGGAGCTAACGAGAGGCAGGCCACGACCCTTGACCTCCCCCCACATTGGAAGGTCGCCACGCTCATGTGAAATTAAGAGCTATTAAGAGAAAAGTTCCTGCTAATGAGGACCCCCGTTTGGAGGTCTGTGGTGAGCCCGGCCAGCGGAATGCAGACTCCTCGTGTGCGCCGGAGGGAAGTTAGTTAGCACAGCTTTGCTCTCGTGACACGAGACAAGGTGACAGTGCATTACATCTGTCCGATTTCACAGGCGTGGT